CTTCTTCAACTTATCACAGCAATAGTAACAACAATTAGGTAATCATTGGCTGTCGCGGGCCAGATTGATGACAGTAAATCATTGGCTGTCGCGGGCCGGATTGATGACACTGGCGGGCCGGATTTGGCCCGCGGGCCGTAGTTTGGAGACCCCTGGACTAGACTATACTATTGATGCTTGGTTGTATTGAATTGACAGATGTTAGAACATGAACAACCTAGCGAACAACAAGGAGTAAAGTAACAGATCGAAAGCCTAAAAACATGAGATTACAGATAAACACACGATTATATTTTGTTCACTTATATGACTTCAAAGGGGAAACTATCCAGCGACTTTATTCAATCAACCAAACTCCTCGTCATATTCTAGCAGAGCGTCACACACGTCACGGAATTTGTTCAACATAGAATAATATAAAAAAAAAAAGAAATTCCAAGTACAGATACTCAATTCTCGGTTCTTTTATTCAATCACACTGTATACGTCATGATTCTCATGAGTCAAGTCTAGGGCTCTTAGAAGTCGTATAATAAACACTAGATCATGTTTCTGAATTCGATGTTTTTTCCTTTGCAGCTTCAAAGTTTGAAAAAATCCTGCAAATACTTGCGATGGTCGGTAGTTCCTTTTCTTCGTCTATAATACGAAGTTTTTTTCAGAGACATAACAAGAGAAGACCACATGTCTTGAAGTTTCATAGCTGTTGCGGGGAGCTATGTAATGTGAACAATGTCGGTAGTGAGGTATGCCAATAGAGTCTGTATACGGTATTGCTAAATGACAAGCGACACCACTACACACACACAAATTGCCTATAATCATTTCAAAGTAAAAGTACAACTTGAGATTATTCATAGTATTGATGGCTAACAACATTAATTCCATCGCACATGGCGAACGATGTTAAACGACTTTGAAAAGAAGTCTACAGAAAAATATTATTTTTTTTTCAGCATTTTCTCTCACTGAATGTTCACATCGTCAACAAGAAATCTCTGTCAGTATTTTTCGTTATCTACACTGTAGAAATTGGTAATTTCTATTAGGTAATAATCATCATAATGATAACTGCTTTTTTAATATACCTATTACAACCTTCCATAATCTGAAAAATAAACAGAGCTAAATAAAAAATAATCTGCAGAAGTGTAATGCAGGGCAAACTGAAAAGTTCACATTAAAAAGGTACTGTGTAGGTAATATAGGGTCTTTCATTAGGTGCTTCCTATTTTTAAATTCCAATAAAACAAAGTGTGTGTGAGATATCAAAATTTTGTATTCGTTCGAAAGGCCTATTGATGCCATTATGTGTTNAGAAAGGAATTCCATACCGGAGATGACACTCCATTAAGTGATTAGGATGCAAGGAACCCCGAGGGAACAATTTTTAGATTCTAATTCATTTATGCTATCCTTTACATAGTAGTATCTACCCTCTAAGTAACTTTCAAACCATTTGTGGGTTATTCCTCTGATTCCATATATTTCAAGTTTTGTTAGAAGAATTTTGTGACCTACCAAATCAAATGCCTTACTTAAGTCTATGAAAACCACTAGTGTCTTTTTACCTACATCCAACTTCCTATACACTTCATTGAGGAACTGTGTAATCGCTTGACTTGTGGACAATCCCTTGCGAATACCAAACTAGTTCACATTAAATAGACCCTGTTTATTAAAATACGGAACGATTATCAAAATCCACACTAAACAGTGACTTTTTCGGGATACATTGGACGCTCTTGGATCTCATGTGGATTGGTATCGCACCAAATTCGACAATTTTGTTCGTTCACTCCCGAAATGGGCCTCATCGCTGAAGATGATTTTTCGATGAAGATTAGGGTTAGTTGTCAACTGCTCCAGAGACCATTCAGCGAACATACGTTGTTGTTTCTGGTCGTTTACATTCAGTTCCTGGGTCAGTTGAATTCTGTACGGGGGCAGGCCCAAGTCACGACGCAAAATTCGTTGTGGTCTGCGGAAAGCGGAGTTCTTGTGAGCGACGCGATCGACTGCTTCGGTTTCTCCTGCATACTCTCATAGACAGCCGTGATGTTTTCGGCAGATCTTGTGTTACGTCGACGTACGGGTGTTTGTTGATCGTGAACTGAGTTAGTGGACTTGACATAAATCGTAATATACATCGTGGTATACCGAAAGACTAGAATTTTTATGCAAAATACTCTTTCAAACTGTAGAAGCACTATCCCAAAACAAGGTTCTTTACTGATTTTCTAAATTTTTTAAGTTCATTAATTGATGTAATATGTTTTGGTAGATGATTATATGTTTGTCTAAATGTTTGTGTAAATGAGGCTGAGTTTGCTCCTCTGGCTGAGCCCTCACATTCCCCAAAATGACTAATATCTAATTCAGTTTTGAGCATTTTTGCTTCGAATTCCTTATCCTACCAGTCCAATGAAGGGGTGAATTACCGTATCCGTGTTTACTGAGAAGAAGATAGTAGTGGCAAACGTAGTTGCAACAATAGATCGGTGATACATTCTTCAGGCAAAACTCTTGGATTCAATGGGTTAAAAAATCTTGGAAACACCTGTTTCATAAAAAGTATAATCCAGTGTTTATCAAACACGGGATGGTTGCTGGAATACCTAAAAAAGGATACATACATGGAAGATATCAACACTAGTATTTCTAGAATGAAAGGTGTTTTAATCAAAGCGTTCGCAGAAGTTATCAAGGAATTGTGGCCAGAAGATTCATCTGATAAAGTAATTAACACAGTCTACTTCAAAAATCAGATTCAAAGATTTGCCCCTTGATTCATGGGTCTGCCCATCAAGACGCCCACGAATTCCTTCGATATCTTTTAGAAGGTTTACATGAGAACCTTAACAGAATTACTGAGAAACCTGAACCGATCTTAACTGAGATTGACGAAAAATTGAGCGATAACGGAAAAGCACAAGAGTCCTGGCAGAGATATTTGAATATGAACAACTCCAAGATTGTAGACTATTTCGTTGGTCAATTAAAATCCACTATGAAGTTCACACACTGTGGATACTCATCAGTAACAAGGAGGGAACGAAGCAGCACCTTTGATGTGATTTTTTTTCTTCTTTCCTTTTTTTTATAATCTTAGTTCTTTGAATTGATTTGTATTTCATGATTGTTCCAAATTTCATGATTTATTGTACTATTCAATATTAACAAGGATTGTATAAACTTTATGTTCGTGAAGTAAGCAAACAGTCTACAGAATGAATATTTCATATATTGTTAATATTTTATTTCTGGCCTACACGAGTCGCGCATCTTCAATTTGAATATTATTCCCAAAGCTCTTTTCTAGATAACGAATATACTCTGCTTCAAAATCTGGCTGCCAGAGCCCCAGAAAGGAATTCCATACCGGAGATGACACTCCATTAAGTGATTAGGATGCATTTGTTGCTGCTGGAAATCCGAGTTCACGAGATATCACATTTATGGCAAGCAGCCAGAAGATAATTCCTTTTTTAAAGCAGTAATTTGCGTAGGCATCAAATTGTAAATTACTGTCAATAATTATACCAAGAGTATATTTTCAATCATGTGTTCACCTAGCTATATTGTTTAATAAAATGATGCGACAGGATTGAATCCTGTGGAATGGATAAAGAAATCAAATTACTTTTTGAATCTGTATCACTGTTACTCATTTGCAGTAATGTATTGTGCATTATTAAAATATAACAGCAATTTATTTTTTACCGTTGTGGATTTCATTAACGAGTGACCTGATTAGGCCAGAAATCTACGCCTGAATTCATAAATCTCGAACATAATGCACAATTTCGAGAAGAATTAGGAATGAAGATGAAAATCAATCAATTGAACATGTGTCATGTGTTGCTGGTATAGTTCCTGGCGATCTTTTAGTGAGTGTCGTTGGCCTTTAGTGTCTGTTCACCATCACTCCCGCCTCTACTGCTGGCCCCGCAGTCCACCTGCTCTACCGAGATTCGATTGGTAGACGACTCGCATTACTAGTCTTCATCCTGACCGTGTCTTTATTGTCTTCAGTTACTGAAGAACACCTGAGAGAGCTTCAAAAACACTCTTCTCGTGGATAATACGTGCGCGATATCTCGTGACATGAATGAATAAAAGCCGTCTAGTAGAAGATAATTCCGTTATGTGGAATTTGTTGTGCAACTTAACGTGATCTACTGATGATTTTGTGTGCAGCCGACTGAGTATCACACGTGCCGACCTCGAAATAAAATGGTTTTAGTGGTTTGAAGAGGATGGAATTGCAGAATTTGATAACAGTAAGTCTCTCAATAATATCTCTAGATGATACAAGTCAAATTACTTATCTTTGAGAGACGACCCTTGAGAAAAAATTCTTTAAGTGATTCTGATTAAATGAAAATCAACTGAAATGCAGCTGAAACTTGTCTTAGATCTAGAGATGAATTCATTCAAGAATTTTTTATACCGTCTTTCTGAAATAGAAATGCGTTTATTTGAACTCTTTGCGAAATCAATCAAAGCTGAGATGGTTTTCACAACTGTCGGTAACGGTTGATGTCTCTAAATTATAATAAAAAAGAATCTTTCAAAGAGGCCACCTTCCAGTACTGTTTGCGTATTTATATACCTAGTTGTTGTTTAAGAATCAGTTTGGATCATCTTTTGATTATAGTTTCATTCAGCAGAATGAAGTTTGTGCTAGTTTTTGTGTCAAAATACAGACAAACTTCAACAAATTCAAGAAAGAACTAAAATCATTTTTAGTTCATGACAGTTTTCATTCAGTCTCAGAATATTCAGAAAAGAAGTGATAGGTATATTTCCGAATCTATTTAGTGATGTGTACGAGTATACAGGGTGTTCCAAATAAGGTCGGCACCACTGCCAACTCCGTTATTATTGATGCTACGAATTCGTTTGAATAGGCAAACAATTGACAGTCGCGTTTTCAAAATGGTTCATAAAATTAATTTTTGGGAATGGAACACCCTATATTTTATCATACATTTCTATTCGTAATAACATTCGCACCGACAAAGCACATACGATACTGTATTTTTTTTTGTTTTCTGCATCGAGAAGGTCATTAAAAATGCTACCAGTTTGTCCACTTAAACGAATTCGTATCATAAATATTAATGGAGTTGGCAATGGTGCCGACTTAATTTGGAACACCCTGTATATGTACGTGTGTGAGTACATATATATGTGAAAATATGTTGAATTTGAAGTGTTTTAATATTGTATATGTACTGTATTTGTTTCCATAGTATACATGTATATTTTTGTCTGACAATTCTTATATCACTTTTGTGATCTATAGATACTCATTAGATACTGATTAACGGAAAAACAGATTTTTTTTTCAATAAATAATTTGGTTGATTTGATCGATTGATTGATAATATAAACGTAAATCGCTCAGAATTGAGTACAACGTAATATAATAGGTTCGCAGTGCTCAATTATTGAAACATATGCTTTCCTCAAAATTTTTCAAATATTTCAACTAATTTGAATGAAAATCTTAACTGGGACAATATAATCTGAAAAATACGAACGGAGCATAAACTTTAATTGTTTCAACATCATACCTGCGATTGATCATTAATTATAAATGGATTATATTCTGTTTCCTAATAGTAAAAAGTAATGAATGCTCATTATAAATGCAAAACGCTAACAGACTGCTTGAACGAAATTCTGTGATCGCATTATAATTTACCACGGCTGTTATAGGCGGGTTTATAATACTCTACCAGGTTCACCATATTTTTGTATCGCTAGCGGATACCGAACAAAATAATTTGTGAGAGTTCGGGTCGATTTATTACCTGCAGTGGTGTACGTTTGGATATTTAATAAAAAATACTTGTTTAATTAGTTTACATACAATGGATATCGTTTCAAACTATATTGTTGGTTGAGAGAGCACGACGTATTTATTAGCCTGAGAGTCTACCTGAGGAACTAAATCACTTAAAAATGCATTGGAGACATATTTAGCAGCCTGAGAGTCTGCCTGAGGAACTAAATCACTTTAAATAAGACCTATGAGAGAGAATACTAAAGTAACCTCAGCTAGGCTAGTGTTTAGTGTTTCGAATCACCAAGTGATCATCTTCAAAAGAAAGATTGAACTAAATATACATACAATATCAACCATACTTATATCATATATAACTCTGCTAGGTACCTGCGTGTTAATTGTCTCAAATTAATCTTATAATGTACTAGTCTTGAATTAATTTTACGATTTGGCCTGATGTGATATTCATTGGAATCTGATAATAACAATATTATTTCAACAAGCTAAGTGTTCCTTATATCTTATTTTAACAGATCTTTCAGTCTGTCCAAAATATTTTGCATCACGGTCCTTACATTTAATTTCCTAAATTCCAGACTTCAAATTTTCGACTTTGTCCTTTGGATTTCCAAAAAGGCTATGTAGTGTACGGAACTGCAGTGGTATGGAACTGAGAAATATTTATCTTGATTTTCGTCGTTTCTACAAGCCGAGATTTCGAGAGACGAAGGTACCTAGCAGAGGTGTCTATGATATAAATAAGGATGACAATGTATGTATATTTAGTTCAATCTTTCTCTTGAAGAGGAAGAAACCATGTGTCGAGGTGTTGAAAATGACGGTTTGGTCTTGGAATAACACTCTAATGATATTCGATATCTAAAGAATACTTCTCCAAAAATTTTCATTTTGGAAAAATGTTATCATACCGTCAGAAGAGAAGATATAATTGGAACCTCCGAAATGAAAATAATTTTTTCATACACCAGAACTAGAACACTTTCCAAAGATAAATTCAACTTCAGCAATTTCATCCATGCCAATCTACCAATAACTCTTTGTTTGGCTCCCAAATGTAATAATCTAGAGAATACTTTTCCAAAAATGAAAATTTCTGGGGAAGTATTTACACAACAAAAACAAAAAGTACTTCTTCTAGTTGTGAAGCATTTTTGGAACCTTTGATGTAGTAATGAATATTATTACAGTTTTATCCTAACACCAAACCGTTATTTCGACACGCGTTTCGATCACCAAGTGATCATCTTCAAGAGGAAGATTAATCAGTAATCTCCTGATGAAGTAAACCTAGTAAACGATACGCGCATTGAGAGAAAATACTCTAGCTCTGATTCATGAGTACGTGTGGCATTAAAAGTCATAATTCTTCTGTTTTTTTTTTCAGGATCGAAATAAGATGCTCATAGAACGCTATATTTGGCGACTTCTAGGGGTGCATTCTACAGTCATCATTTTCTACATAATTTCAGTGAGTATACCCAATTTTAGTGATAATTTCAGTACGTAATTAGGGTCGGTGTTTTGAGAGAATTAATTCAATTCGAAATTCATTCTTACATGCAGTTGAGCCGCGTTGAAATGACCTGAGAGAAGGTATCACTTCATTGGTAGATAAAAATTATTTGGAAAGGTTTCTGGAGTATCTTTTTCAAAAAAAATCATTCGCAGTACAATTTGTGTGTCAGGTAATCGAAATCCTATTGAAATTAAACAATGACTTCAACAAGTCGATTGAATCACTGGTATTGCCCATATGCTGTGCTACCAGGTCAACTTGAAATAACTGTTATAAGACAAACCCATGGTTAGTGATTATTTGTCTTCATTTTGTATTGATGATACATCTGTTAGTCCCGTAAAAAGGAACAGCTTTTTAAAAGTGAACCTTGTGAATCGAATCCATTATAATATTGATTTTGAATATAACTGGAATTGTCATGGAAATAGTAGGTCATCGGCATATTGTTGATATTGGGATTAATCTTCATTTTTCAAATTGTTTTATCTAATGAAATTATCTAGGTGGGCAAGTATGAACATTTTTATGTCTTGAAATTGAAAATGAGATAGATTTCCCAATATGCCCATGCGAAATCAATTCATTTACAAAAGTATACCAAATCTTTATACAGTGCATTTCTTTAATGCCCTCCCTTTTATTTTTTGAACGAGTCAACACAAAAAATTGAAATTTGAGATAATGAAATTAATGCATGAATACTTTATTTTGAAGTGAAATTAACAGATGAAACTTTCAAGATGGCGACTGGTAAGAAACACTGAATGGAAAGGGGGATCTTGTGACACATCTTTTTGAAGCTCCTGACAAATGCTTCACAACCCTATAATATAATGTCAATACCTTCAACTACTACAAAATGGTGGAACTTTCAATAATTGCCTGAATACATTGGCATTTAACTACATAACATGAAGTAATAAGCATGAGATCAGTTCAGAAAATGCTCGAAATGATTGCCTTGAACTTCTCGACATATGAACAGCCTATACGATATTTCACGCCGAACATTTCCGAACACAGTAACGTCAATATCTCTACAAATATTTATTATTCTCTGCCGTATATCCAATATTGAAGCAGGTTCAGTTTCGTACAACTTTTGCTTCAAATAGCCCCCCAAAAAAAGTTCAAAGGTGTCAAATCTGGCGAGCGGGCTGGCCATTCTGTAGGGCCTCGACGGTCAATCCAACGACCGGGAAAAGTAGTATCCAAATAGTTTCTTACTTGCCTGGAGTATTGTGGTGGTGCTCCATCTTGTTGAAATACAATATCCATATCGAATTCATTAGGATTCTCGTCGATGATTTCAGTGATGAGAGGGTCAACAGTAGTTTCCAGCACAACTGGTAGTTGTGAATTTGGATACAAGTTTCCTCAAATATTTTCTACAGATAGGACGTTTCGGAAAACGTTTATTGAGAATCCTTTCGGTCTCGTGAAAGTTGAGCGTCGCACCGTTAACAAAAATCGCGTCATAGCTGAGAATTGACCATTTTAGAGATTGTTGACGTGGTACATTTCTACTAGTAAAACCGAAAACTAAATGAGAATATTCTAACTGAACAATGATGTTCATTGTCGTAATGACATTTTTTGACGTTTTTGTTGGAATTGCAGCATGGCAGATAAAAAGAAATATTTCTAGAAATATCTATATTAATGTGTTTGTCTTCAGGAAATTATTAAATGTTTCGCCATTTTGTAGCTGGTGAAGATATTGACTTCATATTCTAGGGTTGTGAAGTATCCGTCAGGAGCTTCGAAATGATGTATCACAAGACCCTTTTTTCCATTTAATTTTTTTCCCAGTTGGTGCCCAGTCGCAATGATTCATACGAATCCTTCAAAAGCTTGGTGACGATGACCCCGACAGAAAAATTGCCTTTTGTGTAATTATGACAGCTAGAATCATCGCAGAACCGTGGTTCACCAAAAATATTTGCTTGAACGACGAGTGCACTTTTTATTTAAATGGGCACGCAAATAAACAAAAATGTCGTTAGTGGAGTGACGAGAACCCACGGTTATTTAGAGAAGGGCATACGCAATACCGCGAAAAAGTTAATGTTTGGGCTGGTATATTTGGAGATGTTATTATTAGTCCATGTTTATAGAAAATAATTCAAATGGCGAAATAGTTCATGAATTAGAGAATCAGTAAGGCCTTTGATAGAGTCAACCACAGTTTGTTGATTAGTAAACTTCATGTAACAGGTTTTCCAACTTGGTTGACATGCTGGGTAAACAGTTATTTATCTGATAGGAAACAGCTGGTAAAAATTCAAAACCACATTTTCAGTGATATTCAGGTCACATCAGGCGTCCCGCAGGGATCACATCTGGGTCCACTTCTCTTTACTATTTTTATTAATGATATAGCTCTAAACTTTCGCCACTGTAAATATCTTCTCTTCGCTGATGACCTCAAAATTTATATGCCAACCTAGACTGTACATGTCTTCAATCTGATCTGAACGAATTGATCAACTGGTCACAAAATAATGGAATGTTTCTAGTGCTTTGTCACGTTTTGTAAGATTAGGTAATGAACATGTATTCTGCTTGGTAGCTGAACTTGAAACCGAACTTTATTACTGTTAAAATAACGAATTTCACCGGATCAACAGTGAGGAATATTTAATGAATAATTAAAATGAAAAAGGAATTATTGTTGTGGAATTGATCGAGTTTGATGTCGAAAAATTCATGTCACAATTTGAGAACAGACTAACTGAGAACTGAAGTCATTCCAAACCAAACTGGATTCCATTTCCCACTATAGAAAATGCTATTAACTCTTTTCTTTCGTTTCAGTTTGCGAATGCGGTTATCGCTAGTGATCTATGGCCATTGGACAGACCAGAAGGGATGCCCGCAATCCAGTCTTTGGAAGTGATGTGCGGAAAAGATCATATGGATGTGCATCTGACTTTTTCGCAGCCTTTCGAAGGCATAGTTTCCTCCAAAGGACAGCACGGGGATCCAAGATGTGTGTATGTTCCTCCATCAACTGGACAAACTTTATTTTCGTTTCGGATAGCTTACGCTAGGTGTGGAACAAAACCAGATTTACACGGACAATTTTACGAAAATACCGTTGTTGTGCAATACGATAAGGATCTTTTGGAAGTTTGGGATGAAGCGAAACGCCTGAGGTGTGAGTGGTTTAATGATTATGAGAAGACTGCTTCCAAACCGCCCATGGTCATAGCTGATCTTGATGTTGTACAACTTGATTTCAGAGGTAAATTCAGCTTCCATTTGCAATATGTTTTTCTAAGATCGTCTTTGTGTGACTACAGTTTCTTGCGAGCCCACTTGGCAATATTTTGAAAACTTTGTACCTAAAGCCAGTCTGAGTGATTATTGTTAAAAAATATCACCTGCATCTTTCTGAATAACACGAATATTATTGCATAGTCTATATGGTCGATCAGCAGCCTAATAGACTAGGAGAAATAATGATAATTTCATTAACCATTTTCGTTAATCAATTTACATATGGTATGTCAATAATTGTAGGTACTACACAGTATGTACATAAAAAGAATGAAAACAATAGTTTGCCATACTTGAAGGAAAAATTGAAGAATAAAAATGAAACATGAAAATGAGAACTTAAATCACGGCCCATAATATACAAATGTCACAATTTTAAAAGGAACAAATACATAAAGTGTGTAAAAGCCAAAGTGAATAAATTAATTATTTCGGTTACTGTATATATTTCAAAAAAATCCCGAAACACGTCAAATGTAAATTATAATTTGACATTCTTCAACGTAAAAATTCCACCCCTACCTTCAACCCCCTTCGAATGACAGGTACAACCCCCAATCTTTCAAAAGGGAAGTAAAGGTTTGTGATATATCGTTTGAAAGATCTCTTCATTCTCTATTCAAGCATGATATCTCTTTGAAGTTTATTGCAACAATTAAGATAAAATAAATTGAAATCCTGTTAACGAAATTCGATAAAATACACTTTAAAACTAAAATGTAATACAAAACGTAATAAAATGTAGGATACGAAAAAGAACTATGGATGTTAACGAAGTAGATGTTCAAAATGTTCACCTCGAACGTCTTGGCAACATCCTAATTTCAAATAAAACTGTCTTCTAACATTATTTAACATATCAGGCGACCTAATCGTTATTCACATCTGAAGGTTTAGTTTTGTACACATTGCTCTTTACATATCCCCATAAAAAGAAATCTAATGATGAAAGATCAGGTGATCGCGATGGCCATTCAATCGATCCTCGCCTCCCTATCCATCGATTGGGAAAGGTTGTATCGAGGTGATGCCGGACATCAACTTGATAATGTGGTGGTCCTCCATCCTGCTGGAACCAGGAAGTAGTGCCAAATAATTATCCCCATTCCAGTTGCCCTTAATGGAAAAGAGACAAATGATATGGTTTCCTACAATCCCTGCCCAAACATTAACCTTTTGTGGGTCGCATTGCGTGCGTTCTTCTCTCATACAGTGAGGATTTTCCATTGACCAGTAGTGGCAATTTTGCCGATTAGCATGACTGTTAAGAGACAAAGTACACTCATCAGAAAACATAATGTTTTTCAATTGGATTATATTGATATCTAACATGTCCATTATTTGCTCACAGTAGGTATCATTTTATTTTATTTTAATATGTTTACTATCGATGTATGGCTAACATTGAATGTAGTGGATGCCTGTCCACTCGATGTATATGGGTTTTCCTCACACTCAAGCACCACATCTTATTTCAGTTCATCACTCATTGCATTAGTAGCTGCTTTTTTTTCTGCCCCACATGACCAATCTCGCTAAACTGCTTCTTTATTTTGCTTTTTGCTTATTGTTTCTTACCCATTGGTCCTTCCTGCGACCAATTATCAGCCGAAAGGGTAGGGGAGCTGGACTACAAACCTGAAAGAAACGAGGATGACGGCCTTCTATTGTTACTTAAGTTATGGGCGGTAAATCAGGAAATTTCTCATGAAATAGCTACTTCCTGTTGTGTTCGGGTTTTATCTCCGTAACCAATCTTTATTGTTGCAATAAACTTGAAAACGATAACATTTTTGAATAGGAAATGAAGGGACCTTTGAAACGATATATCACAAGCCTATACTTCCTATTTAAAAAGTTGGGGGTTGTACCTGTCATTCGACGGGGGTTGAAGGTAGGGGTAGCATTTTTCCGTTGAAGTATGTCAAATTATAATTTAAATTTGACGTATTTCGGGATTTTGTTAAAATATGTACCTTAACCAAAATAATGAATTTATTCTATTTGGCTTTCATACACACTGTATATTATTTTACATTGGGGATTATTTCCACGAATTATTACCCCAATAGTCTATTGAACTATTAAACTATTAAAAACATTTTTATTAAATTTGTTTTCGTATTATTATGATTTGAACTCCTTGATTGAATTTGGAAATTAATTGTGAAATGAGATAGCATTGTACATCGAAGAATTTTTAAATTTATTCGATTTGTGCGACCATTACATTACATTACACTACATTACACATTAACATTCCACCATGACGTGTACGATAATTATGACTAGAAGCATTCGTTTCAAAAGATGCAAGATTGTGGAAGGTAATAAATACCCAAAACAGGTCGATGAAAAACTGATTTTTCCTCCACAAAAAAAGACTTTCTTTGAATATGCAAGATTGCTTATTACAACACTAGGTTTGCAGCTATCACGATGACTCATATCAAGAATCAGCCTCAAAGTGCGTTTTTGAGCAACAAATATTCTATTAAAATCTCTACCGCATCCCCATGACATTATATTTGAAGAAATATGCGGATATGCCATTGTTAAATATATACTTAGGCGATTTTTCATCCGCAAACAATTTCATTCGTCTAATGGCGAAAAGTGCTGCATTTAGTTTCTTGCAAACATTATCATATGCAGAGATTCATCTAAGATGGTACTTAGGAATTTAACACCATGTGACATCGATATTCCATCAGTATGGTTCAACAAAAGTTGCGAGGAAGCTGTCGCCTTCAAAAATCTCGCCTATCGGCAGTAGCGTAAAAATCCCGGTGGCGAAAACCGAACTAGGTTTGTGAATGCTCGCAACAACTGCAAAATTAGGATAAATTAAAACAAAGAACTTCACCATCAGAGAATTAGGGACAACCTGCTTGCCAATTCCAACAGGTGTAGATCCTTCTGGTCGGTAGCTGAAGCTGTTAATCATAATTTTACAAAATCCACAATTCCATCACTAACACAAGCGGATGGTTCAATTGCAACAACAGCCGTAGAAAAAGCAAATTTACTAGGAAAAGCACCACCCACCCACTATTCCCCAATTATAATCCACAATGCCGGAAACTACTTTTCGACAGCGTCTAGTCAGACGAATTTTGAAACAGCTTAAAATCAACAAGGCCCTGATGAAGTGCCCGTCATCGTATTTAAAAAGTGGACAAATGAACTCGCAACAGTATTTTGCAGACTTTTCAACCCTTACAAGAAAGGGATTTTTCCCTCTTGTTGAAAATTTGCTCTCGTTCAGCCTGTTTCCAAAAAGGGCAAGAAAAATCTTCCAAATAACTATAGACTAGTCGCTTTACTATCAGTGATATCAAAAATCATGGAGTAAGTCGTGAACCATCATATCCTCAAATATTTGGGAGGTTTCAACATCTTGAGCGATCATCAATATCGCTTTCGGAAACAAAGATCAACAGGCGACCTTCTATCGTATGTCACCCATATTTGGAGTAACGCAATTGAGAAACATGGAGAAACAATAGCTGTTGCGCTTGATATTTCTAATGCCTTCAGTCGTGTGTGCCATGAAGGTTTGCTGGCCAAACTTTGATACAATGGCTTGTAAAATCATTTTTGTGTATGCCTCTCCAGCTTCCTGAAAGAACCAAGAGGTAAATCCATCAATAACCTCTTTGACACTTGTTAGTATATTTTCCAGTATGGACCCAGTTATTGTCATTCTGGTATCATCTGCAAACATAGTTATGTGACGATTGTTAACATGTTATGAGAGATCGATAACAAATTCCACAAAAGGTGAAGGTCCCACGTATATATCCAGCGATGGGTGGATGAATGTATACGTGAACAAACACAATGATCGAATTTGGAACGATACCAATCCACATGAGGTCAAATTCAGTCTGATTGATGAGCCAGAGTCATGGAAAAATGGACGTTTCGGACGCGCTGCACCATGAAAAGCCGTGGCGCACATTTTGACGATATTCACTTATGATACAATTCAATTCAATTTATGAATTCATTTGATAACAATACATATATTTTGGTTACTGCTATAAAGAGGCATAAGCTTTAGGAGCAGAAATTGCCTAGGCAATTATTTTATATGTAAGTTAGTTGCCAGTATAGAGTATATAATCAATCAAAAAGAAGTTTGTTGTAATAAGAGGAGGAACCAACGGAGACAACAGGGATTGGTTTTCCTTTTATGCCTTCTAGGTGCATCACGGAATCAATAGAATAAATAAATATATCATTGTCTAAATTTAATCTATCGGAAATTTTTTGGAATCTATCGAGGTTTAGTAATCAGACCCCTCTTTCGCAGTGGGCACTTTGAAATCGAGAAATCGAACCTAAATTACTGACTGCAATACCAACTTACTAGCTTTTACATGCGCGGAGCTATTCTACTCTCTCCCAAAAATTAGGCTTTCCGACTTCAGCATGCTTAGACAAATTCAAATATGAATATAAGCACATACACATTTTAAAGAAAAATCATCAGTGGTACACTCATCAGTGTGATTCGCTCCATTTAAATTGAGCAAACGAAGCGAAGTATGAAGCTCCAAGTGAATGCTGCTGGGTGTGTATCGAAGGCAACAACGTTTTTGAAATGGTTCAGAAAGTGTACAACTTTTTTTTGGGCTCTACTCGTCGATCGAACATTTAGGTTAAAAAAAATTGTTGAAAGTCTTTCACAAACCAGATGGTCAGCCCGAGCAGATGCAGTAAGCGCCTTGCATGAAGGTAATGAACAAGTTGTAGAAGGATAGATTCCATCGCGAAAGATGCAGAACAGACACGAGAAACTAGAGACGAAGCTCTTAGTCTGTCCAGAAAAATGGAAAAACTTTAATATATTATACTAACGGAAATTTGGAACTGTATATTAGAAAGAATAGACAAAAGAAGTAATTATCTTCAGAAAGAAACAATAACACTAGACGTTGCATCTAATATGTTCACTTCACTTGATGTTTTTATTATTAACCTCAGGGATAAATTTGATTACTTCGAATCGTTTGCCAAAGAAAGAAACCCGGAATCTGACTACAAGGACCTATCTCAAAAAACAAAACGCAGAAGTTCTCGCCAGAGTTTTTTTATGGCTCTGCGCCGTCAGTCCAACTGAATGGAAGAGAGAAATTTAAAATAGAAACCTTTCTTTCCATAATTGATACCCTCAGCGTTCATTTAAAACAGATTTGAAAGAGTGAAGTTGAAGGTTATTGTTGAGAGTCGATCTGGTCATCCTTGTTTTTTCTCGGTGAATTTTTTATGCGTACTATACATTCATAGTAACGATTGATAAATTAAGAGTGTTTTTATATTGACCAGGTTGGGATCTTCATAGAGTGATAGAATGGAGAATAATCTATCTTTTTTTTAGTATGATTCTAATCAAGATGTTTCGTGCTGTCTGTAAAGATTGTAATGTGGTAATGAAAGCACCACCCCATACGACTATGCAGTATCTGATGATTGATTCAGTGAGACTTATTGTACAAAATAATCATGTTTTTCCTTAAGAGAATATCTCTCAGGATATAAGCATGGCATCAATAGGCCATTCAAATGAATACAAAATTTCGATGGATTCATACTTCAAAGATGATTCAATATGATGGTCAACGTTTCCTGTTTCTATCAACAGTATTACCTTAAATAATTAATTACGAACATTCCCATTTTAATATGCCTACATTGCTTAGAAAATTGAAATTTTCAGACCGAGAATATTTTGAACGGGATTATTACTAGATTATAATGAACAATTATAACTAACAAGACACCGATATACAGAAATACGGGTTTACTGAGAACGGAACCGCTGTCTTGATATCCGGTCTCGCTGGTTACGTAGACGCCTTGTTCAATAATACTTCACAAGTATAACTCATTCCATGCCAGCTGATGTTGATCCTTCGAACGTAGCGGTATTTATGATTCTTGGAAGTAGGTGACCATCTTCTCTCTGCGGAACAATTCATTTTGTACATTTCCGGAGTTGTAGATACGTATGAATTACATTTAGTTTCGAATAATTAAACACGTTTATAATTCATTGCCGACTCGAACCACTGAATAGTTCTGATACCTCATGCAATTTAAAGAATTTTCTTCACTCCAACACGAATACTGTTCCTTCGATTGATGACCTATTCAACATTTATAGAAAAAACAGTTTTACGGACTGCACAATCCCCATGGATTCTTTCAGTCCATTAACGAATAATGTTCCTTCGATTGATGACCTATTCAACATTTATAGAAAAAACAGTTTTACGGACTGCACAATCCCCATGGATTCTTTCAGTCCATTGTCATATAAATTATCTGCATTCAGATCGATGGTACATGGAGCATTTATGATTCCGTCAACAGAATAAGCTTTTCAAGAAGAAATGAAGACCATGAAGCAGATAGTATCCAATAACTGTATTTCAGTTAACTCATTTGAGAATATCACCCCCAATAAATACCAAAAATTGATCAGGAACGAACTATACCTAAATCATGAAGGACCTAAAGAAGTTTGGATGGTGATTCGAAGCACAGATTTCATCAAGAGCCCTTTTACAACAAGCAATACGTATAGTAGCTATGGAACTTGGACGAAAAACTGAAAGAGAGGATAAAAGTGAAAGCAAAAAGGAAAGAGATCCAGATCCAAACAATTTGATGCATATTGCCAACGAATTGGAAAGAGCCTTGCTAGAATCGAAGAGCAAATATTCTAGGAAAATCCAGAGAACATTGAGGAATTAATTTAGATTTGGGCTTGCTTAAACTCTCTTCCGTTGAGCAAACATATGGACCTACAGTTTTGGAAACACTAAAAAAAGTTCAAATAAATAATTTACTCAAAATAGAGTGGTCTAACGGAAAGTATGCACCTTGCTTTTCTCCTTTTTTTGTAACCTAACGCAAAAATGCTCGGACAGGTCAATTTTGCTTTTGAGGGGGACACATTTCAGATGTATTTTTCTACCTGTGCCTTCAACCCCCTAGCGAGAGTGAGTAACAACCCTAAAATTTTAAATGGAAAGTGGGGTCGAGTGATATATGATTTAAAAGGGCACAAAATTATCTTTCTAATGATACCTAATTTGTTGTATTTCACTCAAACATGTAGGTATTATGAAGAAAAACAACTACAACCCAGTACTTTGAAATGTGTAATTGACTTAGTAGAATCCTACTTCAGCAAGTGCTGAAAATGTGACCCATTTGCTTCCATACAATA